GCTCTGTCGCCAGGCTGGAGTGCAGTGGCGGATCTCAGCTCACTGCAAAGCTCCGCCTCCCGGGTTTACCGCCATTCTCCTGCCTCAGCCTCCAACAGTAGCTGGGACTACAGGCGCCCGCCACTCGCCCGGCTAGTTTTTTGTAATTTTTTAGTAAGAGACCGGGGTTTCACCCATGATACGCCAGGATGGTCTCGATCTCCTGACTCGTGAATCGCAAAATTTTTAATTTTCATCAGGTTCAATTTGTCTGTTTTCTTTTGGTGTCTTTGCCTTTGGTGTCATATCTAAGGAACCATTGCCACCTATGTCTCTAAGAGTTTTAGCTCTTACATCTAGGTCTTTGATTCATTTTGAGTCACTTTTTGGAGTTAATTTTTGTATATGGTATTAGGTAAGGGTCCAGATTCATTGTTTTGCATGTGGATATCCCATTTTCCTAACACCATTTGTTCAAAAGACTGTCTTTTCCCCATTGGTTGGTCTTGGCACCCCTGTCAGAAATCATTTGAGCATATATGTGAGGGTTTACTTCTGGGCTCCATTTTATTCTATTGGTGTGTTTGTCCTTATACCAGTTTCATGCTGTTTTGATTACTGTAGCTTTGTAGTAAGTTTTAAAATTAGGAAGTGTGAGACCTTCAACTTTGTTCTTTTTCAATATTCTTTTGGCTGTGCAGAGTCCCTGGAGATTCCATATTAATTTTAGAATGGATCTTTATATTTCTGCACAAGATATTATTGGGATTTTAGTAGGGATTCCATTAAATCTATAGATCACTTTGGGTAGTATTGACATCTTAATAATATTGTTACCCAATCTGTGAATATGGAATTTCATTCCATTTATTTATGTCTTTGTTTTCTTTCACGAGTGATTTGTACTTTTCATTGTACAAGTTTTCACCTCCTTGGTTAATTCCTAAGCATTCTATTACTTTTGATGCTAATGTAAATGGAACTGTTTTCATGATTTCCTTTTCGGATTGTTCATTGTTAGTGTATGGAAATGTAAGTCATTTTTCTGTGTTGATTTTTTTATCCTGCTAGTTTGCTGAATTCATTTATTAATTTTGACAGTCTTTGTGTGTGTAAAAACTTTTTTTTTTTTTTTTTTGAGACGGAGTCTCGCTCTGTCACCCAGGCTGGAGTACAGTGGCCGGATCTCAGCTCACTGCAAGCTCCGCCTCCCGGGTTTACGCCATTCTCCTGCCTCAGCCTCCCAAGTAGCTGGGACTACAGGTGCCCACCACCACATCCAGCTAATTTTTTGTATTTTTAGTAGAGACGGGGTTTCACCATGTTAGCCCGGATGGTCTTGATCTCCTGACCCCGTGATCCGCCCGTCTCGGCCTCCCAAAGTGCTGGGATTACAGGCTTGAGCCACTGCGCCCGGCCGTGTGTGAAAACTTTAGAATTATCTACATGTAATATCACCTGTGATCAGAAATAATTTTACTTCTTCCTTTCCAATTTGGCTGCCTTTTACTTCTTTTCTTCCCTAATTACTCTGGCTAGGACTTACAGTACCATGTTGAACAGAAATAGAGAAAGAGGACATCTTTGCCTTGTTCCTGATCAGAAAGCTTTTGGTTTTTCACCATTGAGAATGATGTTAGCTATGGGTTTTTAATATCTGGCTTTTATTACGTTGACATAGTTTCCTTTTATTTCATTTTTTGGGTTTTTTTTTTACATGAAATGGTATTGAAGTTTTGTCAAATGCTTTTTCTGCATCAAAAGAGATGACTGGTTTTTTTCCTTTATTCTGTTAATATGGAATAGTGTATTGATTGTTTTTCATGCATTGAACCATCCTTGCTTTCTAGAAATAAATCCCACTTGGGCATGGTATATAATCCTTTTAACATGCTGCTTAATTTGGCTTGCTAATATTTGATTGAGGATTTTGGCATTAATGTTCATACAGGATATTGGTCTGTAGTTTTCTTATGTTTGTCTGGCTTTGGCATCAGGGCAATTCTGGCTTCATAAAATGAGTTAGGAAGTGTTCTCTCCTTCAGTTTTGTGGAAAATTTCAAGAAGGATTGGTGTTAGTTCTTTAAGTGTAAAGTAGTATTCACCAGATAAGCTGTCAGGTCAGGGCTTTTGTGTTTTTCTTGTTGGGAGGTTTTTGATTGTCTATCTTGACTGTTGATAGGCCTTTTCAAATTTTTCTTTTTTCTTTTCTTTTTCTTCTTCTTTTTCTTCTTATTCTTCTTCCTCTTCCTCTCCTTCCTCTTCTTCTTCTTCTTCATCATTGAGAGAGAGAGAGAGAGAGTCTCACTTTGTCACCCAGGCTGGAGTGCAGTGGCATGATCATGGCTCACTGCAGCCTCAAACTGCTGGGCTCAACGATCCTCCCACTTCAGCTTCCTGAGTAGCTGGGACTACAGGCATGCAACATCATATCCAGCTAATTTTTATTTTTATAGAGACAGGGTCTCTCTGTGTTGCCCAGGCCCGTCTCAAACTCCTAGGCTTAAGCATCCTCCTGCTTTGGTCTCCCAAAGCGCTAGGATCACTGGCATGAGCCATGGTACTCAGCCTTTTAGTTTTTCATGATTCAGTCTTGGTCGATTTTGTGTTTCACAGAATATATCCATTCTAGGGCATCCAATTTGTTGGCATACAATTGTTCATAGCTCTCTTGGAATTTTTAAAATTTATATAGACTCTATCATAGTGCCTTCATTTTAATTTCTAATTTTATTAATTTGAATATTCTTTTTGTTTTTTAGTCATTTCTAACTAAAATTTCTCTATTGCTTTTATATTCTCTGGTTATCTCTGCTCTAATCTTATTTCCTTCCTCCTGCTAGCTTTTTGGCTTAGTGTTTGTTGTTTTTTTTTTTTTTTTCTGAGACAGCCTTGCTCTGTCACCCAGGCTGGAGTGCAGTGGCACGATCTTGGCTCACGGCAACCTCCACCTCCCAGGTTCAAGTGATTCTCCTGCCTCAGCCTCCTGAGTAGCTGGGATTACAGGTGCGCCCGGCTAATTTTTGTATTTTTAGTAGAGACAGGGTTTCACCATGTTGGTCAGACTGGTCTCGAACTCCTGACCTCATGATCTGCCTGCCTTGGCCTTCTAAAGTGCTGGGATTACAGGCCTGAACCACCGCGCCTGGCCTGTTGTTCTTAAGTTTCTTAAGCTATAAAGTTTTTCTTAAGTTTTTTTAAGTTGTAAAGTTAGATTTTTGATTTGAGATCTTTCTTCTGTTTTAATATAATCTTTGTAGCTATAAATTTCTTCCTTAGGCACTGCTTTTGTTGTATCCTACAAGTTTTTGTATATTGTTTTCATTTTCTTTTATCTCCATTTTATAATTTCCTTTGTGATTTCTTTGATATAATGATTATTTAAGAG